CACGGAAACTTTAACAGGTCCAAAAGAAGGCAGCCAGACTACTGAATGGAGTAAATAAATATCAACATATCACTCCAATTCTAGCCACCTTACACTGGTTACCTGTCCGTTTCCACGCCAGCTTCAAGGTAATGGTTTTAACCTATAAAGTCCTAAACAGTTTGAGACTTCACTACGTGGTAGAAAGCCTTCTTCCAACAAGATCTGCCCGTCCTGCAAGAACATCCCAAGCAGGCCAGCTGAGAATACTAACCCCGAGAGAGGCCCGCAGGGAGAAGATAAGAAACTGGGCCTTTTCAACAGTTGCTCCTTGACTGTGGAATGAACGCTCCCCTGCAATTTGCTTGGCCCATTCGCTGGTGATATTTAAAAAATCACTAAAAACCTGGCTATCTAGGTAGGCATTTGAAAACATACCCGCAAGCTCAGCTCAATTTAATTGGCCTATCTGTCCAATGTCTGCTATTTTAAATGTTTAAATGTTTTAATTGCTTTGAATGTTTTTGAATGTTTTGTTTTGATATATTTTTATGTTTTGAGTTTATTGCTTATTTGTATTTTATTATTTCTATTTTTTCTGATCTTAAATGGTACTTGGTGGTCTTTATATTCTGTAAACTGCCCAGAGTGGCCTCAGCCCAGATGGCCAGTAAAAAAAAATTTTGAACTGACTAACTAACTGACTGACTGACTAACTAACTTCCATTTTAAAAAGCCAAGAAATTGAATTCTTTTAAAAATCTCCAGTTTATGTTTGTGAGATATTGTATTTCTGTATCCATGATTCAAACAACCAGGAAATGGCTCAACTTTGCCAGCGGGAAAAAGGATGGCAAGCTTTACATAGCAAAGGCCTGAATGTTGATAACACCAATGGAGGCAGTCAAGATGGTCTACAACAGCAGTCCCCAACCTTTTTGGAACCACAGACCAATTGGGGGGGAGGCTCTGTGGGGAGGGGGCACGCTCGCACAGGAGGCGTATTGCACTCTCAACATACCCCCTGCGTGAGTGCAACACGCCCACCAGGCAGGCAGGTGGGGGGAGCGGAGATCCATCTCCACAGCCCAGTTCCAAGAAGCCCATGGACTGGCACCGGGCCATGGACTGGGAGTTGGGGACCCCTGGTCTACAGGATACTCTCTTCTGCTCATTCTCATTCACACTTGTTGAAATACAGCCCTGACAATTGCTTTGTGTTTAGGTGAGAAGTGGCGAACTGCTGAAAAAAGGAGTCAGCTTCTGGGATTTTCCCTTGCATGGTGCCACTTTGTGAACAGCACTGGAGCTGGGGGACTCCTGTTCAACACCTTGACCATTAGCCTGTGTACTGTCTCAGGTTCCCATGATTCCCCAGACTATTTCACATATACATGAAAAATCTGGAAAAGGCTGCCCAGAATTTTGTGCTCTTGTACCACCAGTGTGCTGATGACACTCGACTTCATCTGCTTTTTAAGATCTTCTAGGAGACATTTCTCTCAGTCTGTCTTTCAGCAACTGTGAATGGGAGTAAACAGAAGAGAGTATCCTGTAGACCATCTTGACTGCTGCCATTGGTGTTGTCGACATTCAGGCTGCCCTTTGCTATGTAAAGCTCAGCATCCTTTTTCCTGCTGGCAATGCGGGCATGATATTATACAGCAATATTGGGCCGTCTCCTCGCTTTTTGAATTGCGGCTACACAACATCTCACATCGATAAACCCAAGTTTTTTTAAAAAGATGTATTCTTGAAGGATTTCATGGCCAGGATCCGATGGTTGTTGTAAGTTTTCTGGGCTGTTTGGCCATGTTCTTAAGGTTTTTCTTCCTAATGTTTCACCAGTCTCTGTGGCCAGCATCTTCAGAGGACAAGGAAGAAAAACTGTAAGAACACGGCCAAATAGCCCAGAAAACTCACAACAACCATTTTTTGGAAGAATTGGATTTTTGGATTTTTCTTTTGTCATCTCTCTAAACGTACATCTGTTGGCTATCCTGCATATTCGAATAATGTCTCAGAACCTTCCAGAGCTGATATGAAGTATTTTGACAGGGGCCCTGCCCCTTCCTGAAATATGATCCATCCATCCCCTTTGCCTCATTGAGCTCTTTTTTAAAACCCATGGTTCTGTGCAGGTGTCTTAGAACATCTCTCTTTATATCCAAGTGTTTTTAAAAAGTGTGTCTCTTGTTCTGCAAAGATACCCCTCTCTGGTGGATACTCGAAGTCTGCACAACACTTAAGCCTGCATGCATTATAGGACCTTTATTCCCTAGAAGAAAAAGTATCAAGAGGCCAGGCTTCATAAAATACTGTAGGCAAGGCTGTCCTTTCTTTGGACTCCCTAACTAGACACCCACGAACTTCATTCTATACCAGTTACATTCAAGACCTCCACCATGGCCTCCACATTGACACAGACACCACCCAAGACAACCAGGGTTGTGTTGGTACTGATGCTTGCCACTCCATCTCCTTTCTCTTTGGCCCTGCTGCTGAAGAGGAAAGCAGCTTCTTCTGATCATGAAGCAGACCATAAAAAGAAATAGAAGCATAAGAAAACCAAGAACATGCCCCCATTATCAAAGGTATCTCCATACTACTGTCACATATCTGAGTATCAGACACAGTTCTGGTTCCATTCTCTTTGGAAGACTATGAAGGCTGTTACTGGTGTGAACAGTCCCACCACCCGTTTAGACTGAAACAGACACTAGACACTACAGCTCCGGCTCAGCCTGCAGTGAGCATATCTCAAGTCAGTGTCAACCCAATGGGTCATACACCTTCGGCAAGGCATATTTGTTTTCAGCAAATTTATTTTCTAGTTTTGTCTTGGCATTTGCCACTAGGCAAGACTGAGAAGGCAAGACTCTGCAGTTTAAAAAAAACAGTATTTACCATTGAAACGGATATAACAGGAATAGGAAGTAGCTTTCTTTGTGCCCACTCTGTTCTCTTTCACATGCACTTCTTTGAGGGTGGCACTTTGATTTCTCAGTGAAATACATTTTAAAGCATTGTAGGTAAAAACAAAATAAAAATAAGTAATAATAAAAGAACAAGTAGAAAAGACAAAAACATAGTGGCATCTTAAAGACTGTTATATAGACTAGATGAAAGTCCTGTCCCCAGCTGGCAGGCTAGCTTTGCCTACTTCTGCCAGAGCACCATCATTAGTGACATGCCATTATGCATCCTATCCTGAGGACACTTCAGTTTTTCAACTGAAACATGTTCTCCACGCTTGCTTTGAAAGTATTGGTGGTATTGTGATGTGCAGCTTCTAATGTGTTATTCTTCCAGGATTATTTCTGGGATTGAGTGATCCATATATATAATGGATCAATCCAGCCTTCATCTGTGTGACCACTGTCTGGGCTTCCTTCTCCTTCTTGTTGAATGATAAGCTGAAATTCAGCATGTGAGGGTTTTGCTGTCACTGTATTCTTGTTACTGCAAAAAAGCTCTATCTGTTGAATATTGTCCTATTAAAAGTCATTAAAGGCTCATGGAACCCTGGAGGTCAGAGCTACACAAACCAAGACAGATGAGATAAGAAAAAGTCAGTGGGAAAAAAAATCTGCACTGAAACAAATTCAAAGTGGAAAACACAAAATAAGGAACAGTAAAGGAGTCCAGTATACAAGATGTTAATCATCTCCCTGCAGCCTGTATTGGAACCTGTATGATCAAAGAAAAGATTGTTAACTCTGTGAATTGCATAAAGTGACACAGGCCCCAGTTCTCACAGACAGAAGCAGAAATTGCAACCCTAGGCTTGCATGCTCCTCTCAAATCAGTTCTGTCTATAAGCATATCACTGAGGTTGCAGCCTTCTTCCTGGAATCTAGATCATTTTGTTTTGCTTTGGTTTTTATGCAGGAACTGTATTAGTTATTTTGTGTAGGAACACACAACCAGTCATGTGAGACCCTACAAGTGTTCTGATGATTTAGTCTTAATCTCCTGTGGATTTGTCTGATCTATTCAGTTATAAGAAACAGCCAGAAATTGCATAATTCCAGGGTTTTTATTCAGAGTTGGAAGTAGCTTTGATTTGTTAGTGTCTCGCTGCCTATCTCCTTCTACGCACATGTGTTTCTGTTCAAACTACTAGACAAGGAAACTGCTTTGCTCAGATCCTTTGAGGAGAAAAGTGATTGAACTACATGAACTTGGCTTGTAGCTGGAAATTTTAATTTTCTGCTTTGTGGACCTTTACGCCTCCTAAATTTGCAACTCTGGAGTCAGTGGTTTCCATTGAAAATACAATACATATACCAAGGAAACCACACTTTATGTCATGGAAGAGCAGTAGAACTGAGAGACACACAGAGAGGTATCTTTTAGTTTGCATTTGTGTAATTGTTCAGCACCAGTTATTGGGAAATTTTGATTACATATATTAATTTTGTGCTCAGAATCTTTTGCTTCTGTTGCCCATTGCCCACAGAACTATGGACCAGAGGGTTGCTGGATATGCCACTTTGAAAAGCATCTTTAAGAAATCCAAATGAAAGAAAAACATCTGGACTTTGAGAAGCCCTTGTTTTGACAGCTGTAAAATATTAACCTTTGCTGCCTTGTGATTTTAATATTGTGGTTGTCAGTTTCCTTTTTTTTTGTTTTGTTTAAGGAAGGAAGATTTAATATCTACCCCGAGTCTCCCTGAGTATAAGACAACACAACTAAACAAAACAAAGATTAATGGCTTGCTTAGAAGTACTCCCTTTCTTGAAGGAGTGGGTTGGAAATTAAGCAGAAGAAATTTGTTTGCTTCATTGATCATAATTTATAAACACAAGGGGGATGGAGAAGAGACAGTAGGAGAGAAGAGTGGTTCACGAGATAGGTCAGAATTATATGTCAAAAGAGAATTCTCTGAAACTTCCCTCGTGCTTAGAAAGCCAGCATTATGACATATCTTCTCTTTCAAGTCAATGCTTTCCTGCAGAGTCTCTCAAATATAAGTTTTAAACTTAAATTCAAACTGGTTTTTGTTTCATTCCTAGCTTTCAAAGAGTTTGCAAGAAAGAGGCTGGAAGGTAGGAGACCTCTTTCAAGCAATGCTGAAGTACTGTGAAGTAATGGAGAAAGCTGATGGGGAGAGAGCTTTGGAAAGCAGAACATTCTTTGGATGGCTTCAAGAGCATGTCTGACAACCAGGAAAAAGGCTGCTCCTTCTTAACTTCATACTTCCTTTGGAAGGATGGAAATATGTATCTTATACTTCAGCTAATGTCATGTTTGCTGTGTAAAAAAACTTTAGGGTGGAAGTAAATGTACCTGTATTGTCAAAGTGCTTTGTGATGCTCTGTATGCTTTTTATACAATGCATATCTTCATAATGAGTATCTTCTCCATTCAGTTTGTTCAACAAACTTTATACCTATGCTGTGATCAGTCTATTGTAGTGGTAAGGAGAACTTTGTTTGTCATGTATATTAATAAGGATTTCACTCAATCTAAGACACAAGTTACACAACCTCAATCTACTATACTATTCTCCCTCTATTTCTTTGCCTCCTTTCCTTTCCTTCCTTTTCTTAACAAGTTCCAGGAAGAATTTAGTGAACTGGGGCCATAGCCCATTCATCAGTTCTCCACCCTCCCCTGTAGTGGAGCCGTATTGACATGAATAATTGCTTATTTTTCTCTATTGCATCTAAGGAGCTCATAGCAATTCATGGTCATCTAGTGAAATGTGGAAACAAAATAGGACCAAAAGGAGATGATGTGGTGATTCCTTTAAGGAGCAAGGAGGGTTGCTGTCCTTAAAGTGAGGAATCTAACTACACAGTTCTGTAAAATAAATTGTATTCTTTCCTCATTTGTGAAGGTTGGTGATAATTGAAGGGATGGGACAAATATGTGTTCTACAGAGCTCCAACAGTTTGATAACTTATTTAGTATCCTTTAATAAGAGCATTTCAAAAAAACTGGTCCGTGTTTAGAATTTTTTTCTTTTTGCAGAAGGAGGTGCCTGGAGTTAAAGAAATAGACTCAGGTCACTAGAATTATTAATCAACCAGTAGCTGGACGTTTGTGCTTCATTGAATGATATCAAGAAGCGTATCTGATTTTCAGTCTCTAGAAAATCAGTACCAATGTTGAATGTTTGTTTTTCTTTAAACTTTTTCTGTAAACAGCTTAATAAAATTTGCATTAAAGGCAGCTGAGAAAACAGCAGTTAAGAAATTCAGTTTTTCATTGAAACACAATAACATTGCATATCTCAGTTTTGGAGATTTTAAAAAGTCCATACTATGATCTGGATCAAACTAAAGTAGTTTAAACTAAATACATTAATAACGTGGAGAGCTGTTTCCACTTGGTTCTCTGAGCATATCAGTGGTTAATTCAAGGTCCACCCTATGTCTCATCTTTACCATTTAGATGGCAGCACCGTAGATAAAGTGTTGCACTCCACTAAACAGAAGAGGCTTTTGTTAATTTTCTTCCAATAAGAAGTGAGACCGTCTATGAGCAAAGAACTAGTGGCTGCTGTTTCCCACATTACTTAATTCAGGTTAAAAATCCATTCACATTTTTAACTGAACATCTCTATTGCCAATATTTTTGTTTGCAGGCCCTTCTGATCATCATATTCACTTTAGTTTTAAACTTCCATAGTACATTGCCATTATATCTTAGTTGTATGGTAATCAATTACTGTTCTGTTGTGATATTTGGACATAATTTTAAACCATTTAAAAATAAATAATTACCCAGCAAAGGAGTTGATTGTGTTAATTGTGCATAATTTAGTAGCTCACAGACTGACTTCATCTCGGGTATTGAGTCTGAAAGGAAATTGCACTGAAGTCTGGACGTTGCGATTAAAGTACCAGTTGGCTATTGATAGAGGTTAGCTGTATTAAAAAAAATTCCATTTAGAGACTTTAATTAGGAGTTCAAATGAATTGCTTTAAATCTGTAAACAGTTCCTGTTGAATCTATACCATGTACCAGGTTCCTTTATGGGAAGTATGAATCCTTCAGGGTGATGAATAACACAGCTATGACAGTGGCTGGTCATTGGTTCTTGAACTCTTTCCTCCATGGCAGTATTGCAGTTTCAAATTAAGTCTGTAGGTTTCCTTGGCTCCTCATTAGTGAAGTAGAGATCCTGGGTCTGCAGTAATAACTAAAAATTCACCAGGTTGAATTTCTGAATGCAAAGAATATAGAATAGTAGTATAACCTGTTTTTATTTTCCCCCTGGAATGCAGGAAAAAAAGAAGCTGTGTGTCAGAAGAATAGGGGAGAAGGAATGGTAAAAAGCTTTCTAGGGCCCTGTTCAGTCATTATGAAAGCATATGTGCTCCACGCACAATGAGGCCCCTCCATTATCACTTCCATTATGCACATACTAAGAGAGGGAGCTTGTTCTGTATATATTTTCCATATGAGCTGAACCTTACTTTTGTTGAGCCTACATGGCTAGAATAGGTTTTCCCTTTTCAGACTGTCACTTTTGCATGATGAAGATGATGACAGAATTTGTGGCTACCATGCTGACTTCATTCTGTTGAAAGTACACATGTTTTCATGATGACTGAATAGGGATTCTGCCTTGTGAGGTTCAGTTAAACTGCTCAAAGAAAGGATGTGTAATATATCTGTGTCACTATACGCAGAGCTTTCAGGAACAGGAATGGAGCTTTGGGAACAGGAACTATACCTAAGCCAGCTTGAGTTTTTCCAAGATTCTTCACTGAATTTTCGAAGGCTTTCACGGCCGGGATCTCATGGTTGTTGTGGGTTTTTCGGGCTCTTTGGCCATCTTCTGAAAGTTGTTCTTCCTGACGTTTCAGCAGTCTCAAAAGAGCATGGACAGAGTTCCTACTCCTGTTCCTCTGAAGATGCCAGCCACAGAGACTGGCGAAACATCAGGAAGAACAACTTTCAGAACACGAAAAACCCACAACAACCATTCTTCACTGAATGTAAAGTTTCTGAGAAGGATATAAGTGCTTCTGTTCTGTGTCACCTCTGAGCTCAGTTGCTTTGGTGAAAGGGGAAGTTATGCTATGGTCTTATTCCGGTGGTTCCCAGCCTTGGGTAACCCAGGTGTTCTTGAACTGCAAATTCCAGAGGCCTTCACCACCAGCTGTGCTGACCAGGGTTCCTAGGAATTGCAATCCAAGAATACCTAGGTTACCAGAGGCTGAGAACCGTTGTCCTGTTTAAACAAATCTAGAAGGAAATGGTTTAAGTTTTGCAATTATAGGGTACTTTATTTCATATTGTTTTATTATTTTGTTATGCATTTCCTATATGGCAAGAACTGAATGTGGTATTTACTTGTCTTTTCAGTACATAGCGTCACAATGAAAGACACATGAGAATGATGGCCAGGTAGTAAACTGCATCCAAATATTATTTGCTTCACCCTGCACATTGAAGTGTGTCCTATTCAGGAAGTACATAACGTGACCCTTAGTGTGGCAATTATAAACATGAACACAATTTGAATAATTATAATTGTTACATATACCTCTCACAAAAAAGCTAACATGAAGGTCTCTCGATGTGTAATAGTGACATTTTGTTGTTTTTAGAAGTGTGGTGATACTGTTGTGATGCAGTTGCACTAAAATTGCATTTGTTTGAGTAGTATCTTAAAATAAATTGCATATAAACAAATTACAAGTTGTGTAATGATTTCAAATTGTATGCTGAGTAATGATTTGTCATATAATTATTCAGTTTACTTCTACTTTTTTAGAACTAGGATCTACTGGATAGCTCAGCAGTTTCGGTGTCTGTCTGTGGAGCCAGAGATTGGAAGTGTGATTCCCCACTGTGCCTCCTTGACTGGGGCTGGACTTGATGATCCATAAAGCTCCTTCCAGCTTTGCAGTTCTAAGATGCTACTTACTGCTGATGGTTATGCTTTGGATCCTGTAATAAGAAGGCTTTAATACTTTTGAACACATTTTTTAGAAAGTAGTTACAGAAAACTGGAGCTGCAAATGAATTAAAGTGATGCCTCCACTAGAGTATTTCACATTATTGGCCCAAAGTAAACATCTGCTCCTAGAAACCTTGTTTATAATGCTAAGGGTAGTGTTTTCTCTAGCTGTGAATAAACTGTACCTCTATAGTAGAATGGTAAAAACTGTAGAGATCCACACAAAAGAAACTTTGTCTAGGATCCTAAGGTAAGTTGTCTCAAATATAGCACATGGAAGAAATATCTCCCTATTTGCTTCCTACATTATGGGAGGGTGAGAGCAGCTTTCTTAAGAATGCGATAGATTGTGGACAGCTGCTGGAGAGGGCGGAGTTGCCCCCAGTTAAACCTGGATCTAGTTGAAAGATACTCCTAGAGTACTTCTCGTTCTCCCAACAATAGTCCCCTTGCACCCTATCCTACATTGTTTTGAAGGGCCCCACAACTTGAACTCTCCAGAGATTTATTTTAATGTTTGAAAAGGGGAGTTCTTGGAAATTCCTTACCTTAGAAAATGTAAACCTTATTTCCCAAACTGACTCTGGGAAAGCCAAACAGACAAGGGGCTTACTTTTATATAACCTTGGATTAATAGCTGCCACCACCTTTACCTTCTTCATCTTGCCTGCTTTACAAAAAAAATGGCTAAAGACAACAAAGGGGAACCAAGACGGACTCTGAGGCTAAGGATTTGTTTTCCTCTTCCTTAACTGGGGAACTCTGGTACATCAACCAAGCAGATGGGCAATGGACAGTCTGGATAATATTGAAGGAGCAACTAAACCTTTTTCGTGGCCTCTGTTAATGCACACAAATGGATTGTTTTTGCGCCTGCGCTGAATGTCTCGGAAGATTCTAGAGCTCAAAAGTACGAAGTTATTGGGACGTTTCCCTGTGCAGCACATGCTCCGCCCACCTAAGATTCCCCTCAGTTCCTTTTTTCCACCATGCTGATCAGATCTCCAGAAGAATAGAGCATGTTTCTGAGTGATTTTTAGTGACTATATTAGTATTTCCTCTTCTAATCAACACCTAAATTGATACCTTCCTATTTTCCAATCAACTATTCTTCGTTCCCCTGTAAGTTGGTTCTGTTTCTTTGCCTTTCCCGCTTTTGGCTTCCCGCCCCTCCCCCCCCATCTCTTCAACTGTCTCTCCCTCTGCTTTATCACTCTTATGGCCTCAATAACTCCTTTTAAAAGGTGTGTCACCTGTTCAAATAAGATCCTATTATCTGATGGCCACAAATGCTGTTTATTCTGGTTGGGCAAGCAACACCCAACCCATTCTTGTGCGGCATGTAAAAAATTGACCAAGCCGGCACTTAAGCAAAGGCTCCAAAGGCTCCGATCTCACCTTTGGGAGACGGCCATGGACAGAAAAGGTGAAAAGAATCAAGTGAGTCCATATCGAGCCTTCGCAAACATTACCTTCAACAGTTCTGGAGGAGTCCTTGAGAGAGGCTCAGGGATCTACGTCAGAGAGGGAGGAGATTCATTTACCACTGGCTCATGCTCCAGTGTCAACTGGTAGCCTATCTCCCACACTGGCATCTCAATGGCTGATGCACCAGCCAGCCAGGCCTCGGCTCATTCTAGTTTTGCATCAGGCCGGGCAATTGAAATCCAACTTTCAGGATTGGACTCTCCTCAACACTCTCCCCCAAAACACTGGTAGAAACAGAAGCATATTTCTCCTCCTCGATATATGCCTCCGTACGGGGAGTACTACCACTATACCAATTTTCTACGATACCATCTGTAGCGTTCAGCCCTGCCCTCACCTGTCCATCACAGTTGAGCAGTGGAAAAGGAGCCAATGAGTGAACAGAAGGTGGTGCTAAAGGGGGAGGGGCGTGGATATAAAGGAGGGGTGTATGGAGTATGAGAGAGGAAAATGTGAGTGTGAGTGAGTGAGCAAGTAAGTCAGTGAGAGTAGGGTTCTGTGTGTCAGTGAGTTCAGTGAGTGAGAGAGATTGATTAGCAACTTGTGATTTACCTATTACATATTACTGATCAAATAAACAAGTTTAAGTTTCAAAGTAACATATGTCTCATTGAATAATTGGTATTGAAACAGCAATACCTGGTGGCAGCAACTTGGGAAGAAGAGTGAGCACTTCCTGGAAGCCTGAGATAATAGAGGCTTCAGCGCGCTCGCTACACCATTTTGACGTGGAGGAAGATTTCCTATATTTTGATGCATATCACATGGAAGCATACCAAGGACATTCATATCATCAAGTACCAAAGCGTTTGCAATATGCACTACCTTACCAACAAGGATATCCTCAATCACCATCACCACCGACACCACTCCCAACATCCAGTATTTGCTTCTCCTGCTCCCCATATTTCTAAACCAGCTCTGAAATGTTTGACATCGTCACTTACCAACCATTCCAAATGCCTTACATAATCTTCTAAAACTCAACAACCTCTTCAGGTTACTACCACATATACCACATCATCCTCAGTCTTCCCTCTGAACTCAGCCCACTCTTCCATAACAAGACCCAGAATCACGTCATCATCTTCCACATCCTCTTCTGACCAAGAACTAGGATCCGTATCATCTGAAGAATCACCATCCAACTGTCCTACACCAACCTCAGATGTTTTCGATTATCATCCTCTATACCCTTCAGAGGATTTCACTTCTTATTCACATATGATATTCAGAATGGCTAAATCCCTACAACTACATGTTGAAGAACCTCCATCACCTGATACAGATCTAATCTTAGACGACATCAATCAAGAAAGGACACCTCCACTTAG